GCCGCGAGCACGTGGAGGGGAGGGGGAGGGCGTTGGGCCGCGCCGGCCACGACCCCGCCGAGGATCGGCCCCGTCCCCTTCCCGGGCACTCGGGAGTGACCTTGGGCAGGTCGCCTTCCCGCCTGAGCCTTGCTTTCCCCGTGGGCAAGGGTGGCGGGGACTGTCTCAGAAGGCCGTGGACGGGGCTGGGGGGCCTAGGGGGTCGCCCCCGGCGGCTGCCCCTCCCCCGAGGGCCGCTGGGTGACTTGGGGGTCCACTTGAGCGAGGTCTGGCTTTCAGGACTGAAGCTGCAGGATGGCTGACCGGGACCCCGGGGGCATCAGCCCTCTCCAGCAGATGGTGGCCTCGGGCACCGGGGCTGTGGTCACCTCCCTCTTCAGTAAGACCTGGGCTGCTGGGGGCTGGGGCCGCCTGAGTGGGAGGCAGTTCAGCCCAGGGAGGGTCACAGTGGGGCCTGAAAGGAGCCTTCAGACCTGCCTCCTCCTCCAGTGACGCCCCTGGACGTGGTGAAGGTCCGTCTGCAGTCTCAGCGCCCATCGGCGGTCAGCGGTGAGCACCCGGCCCAGGCGCCCGTGGGGGTGGGGTCCCTGGGGCAGTGAGGCTATCCTGACCAGGGGGGTACTTGTGTTCTAGGGCTGCCACCTTTTTCCAGATGCTGGGGTCTCTTGTATGCCAAACGTGAGTGTCCCAAGCCAGGGGTCCTGGGAGGGGGCAGGGCAAGGGTCCTAGTTACCACTAGCACCAGCGGCTCATGTCAGCCAGCTTCTGCCCTTCACCACCAAAACAGGTGCGTTCCAGGGAAGGGCTCCCCCACTTCAGGTTCCCAGGGCCCATCTTCATGCCCCTGACTTCCCCAGAGCCCGTCCTAATCCTCCCTGCCCTTCCCCCAGTGCCCGCCTCTCTCCAACCCACAGGGAAGTGCCTCTTGTATTGCAATGGCGCCCTGGAGCCCCTGTACCTGTGCCCTGATGGTGCTCGTTGTGCCACTTGGTTTCAGGACCCCACCCGTTTCACTGGCACCATGGTGAGGAATATGTGTTTTCAGCTGGGTCCATCGGGCTGCCTGGGCATCCCTAAGAGACTCGGTCTGGTTGGGCAGAAGGCCCAGGAGACAACGGGTAGAGCAAGGCAGGTGTTGGTTCAGTTTGGGAAGGGCTTCCCAGAAAATGTAGTGCTTCCGTGAGGTTTTGCAGGGTGAATAGGAGTCTGCCTGGACCCAGCTGGAGAACTGTATGTTTGGAGGCGTGGAGGACTGAGGAGCTGTCTGCTCTCAGCAGGCCCAAGGGTGCAGGCAGAGACTGTGGGCATCAGGCAAGGGCCAGCCCAGGCCAGCGCCACAGCAGGCCTCGTTCTTGTCCGTCTTCTCTCCAGGATGCCTTTGTAAAGATTGTGAGGCACGAGGGCACCAGGACCCTGTGGAGCGGCCTCCCCGCCACCCTGTGAGTAGCTCAGGCTTGGGCAGTGCACTCCCCTGGGGCCCCATTCCTCCCTCCCTGTCAACCGGCTAGGGTGGGGGATACCGGAGAAGCTGGGGGGCTCTTGGGAGTCCCAGCTGCTCTCTGTCCACACCCCCAGGGTGATGACGGTACCCGCGACTGCCATTTATTTCACCGCCTATGACCAGCTCAAGGCCTTCCTGTGCAGCCGAGCCTTGACCTCTGACCTCTACGCACCCATGGTGGCTGGCACGCTGGCCCGCCGTAAGCACAGCCCTGGCCCTTGATCTCTCTCCGTCCCCCCCTGGGCCAGGGCCCAGTCAGTCCCAGCTCCCAGCCCCAAGCTCTGCCAGCCTGGGGCTGGGGGCACGTTCTAGGCCCCCAGGCCTTAGGGCCCAGCCGGGCACTGCCTGTGGGATCTGTAACCTGACCCCCTCCTCCCCACCCTCTTAGTGGGCACTGTGACTGTGATCAGCCCCCTGGAGCTCATGCGGACAAAGCTGCAGGCCCGGCACGTGTCCTATCGAGAGCTGGGAGCCTGTGTTCGGGCTGCAGTGGCTCAGGGCGGTTGGCGCTCGCTGTGGCTGGGCTGGGGCCCCACCGCCCTTCGAGACGTGCCCTTCTCAGGTAAGCACCCGGGCTCTTCGAGTGAGGAAAGGGAGCCCTTGGCCACTGCAAAGCCACTCCGCTTTTCTGAGCCTCGGGCCTCTGGTCTGTGAAATGGGCCCAGCAGGTCGAGCGTCTGCTCAAGCCCCAGAGGCCTTTGGGAGCCCAGGGGCAGCAGGCCAGCCCCAAGCTGGGAGGGCGTGGCTGTCGGGAAGGCGGGAGTTCTGGGCCTCTCTGCCCTCCCACCTCTGATGTGTATCCCCCCCAGCCCTGTACTGGTTCAACTACGAGCTGCTGAAGAGCTGGCTGAGCGGGCTCAGGCCAAACCAGCAGACCCCCGTGGGCATCAGCTTCGTGGCAGGCGGCATCTCAGGGACGGTGAGTGGGCGGCAGGGAGGCTGGGGAGCGAGTGGGGAGCTTGCTCCTCTCCCCAGAGGCTCTGAGGTTTCATCCCTTCTAGCCTGGGGTCCCCAGGGAGGCAGGGCTGGGGGCCTGGGAATGGAGCCAAGCCCAGCCTGCCCGCTGCCAGGTGGCTGCAGTGCTGACTCTCCCCTTCGATGTGGTGAAGACTCAGCGCCAGGTCGCGCTGGGAGCTGTGGAGGCCCTGAGAGGTGAGGCCCGGCCAGCCAGGGCAAGGTGGGTGGGCCTGAGTGGGGTCTCCTGACTGCCTGGCCTTGCAGTGACACCCCTGCACGTGGACTCCACCTGGGCGCTGCTGCGGAGGATCTGGGCTGAGTCGGGCACCAGGGGACTCTTTGCTGGTGAGTGTGGTGTCTGGGGGGCGGGGCCCTGACTCCTGACCCCTGACCCAGCTTCCCCCCCACAGGCTTCCTCCCAAGGATCATCAAGGCCGCCCCCTCCTGCGCCATCATGATCAGCACTTATGAGTTCGGCAAGTGCTTCTTCCAGAGGCTCAACCAGGACCGGCCTCCGGGCCACTGAGGGCGAGGGGGACCCGCCTCCACATAGGGAGGGCGGGAGGGGGCTGAGCCCAGTGCCTTTTCCTCAGCGTGGAGGGACCTCGCTTCCCTGCCCTCCCGGTGACGCCCCAAGTGGGAGCCCAGGCCTCCCAGACAAGGCTCTTCTGTTGCTCCCGCTCCTGAGGGACCATCGCCTTCCCATCTCCAAGTTCAAGACCACACCTGCCGACTTCCCCTTTGTGTGTCCCCCTCGGTGTGCTGTAGCTGGGCCACACCTGGTCTCTACACTTACCCTGTTCTTTACTTCTAAAGATGCTGAACTTCTGCCAGTGCTTGTGCCTTTGGGATCAGGGGACTAGGAGGGGGCCAGGGGCTGGAAAGGGTGCGGGGCGCTACCTGGTGCTGGGCAGGCTGCTCCCGTGACGCCATGAAGAGGACCTCTCCAGCTTAGCCAGTGCCTGGTCAGGGCGAGGACCCAGAGATGGGGGCCAAGGAGACATGGGGTCACGAGGTCCTGGTCAGGGCCCCGTGTGAAGGCTGGCGTGGAGGATGGTGACAGCAGAGGGAGGGTCTGCAGCTTTGGGCCCAGTTGGGATGGCTCAGGCCTGTGGTGGGGCCTCACCTGTGGAGGCCTTCATCCTGCCCTCCAGGCACGTGGCCACCTCTGCCTGGGTTCAAGTGAGCTGTTAAAGGATGTCAGCTGAAGGGCACTTGGTTCTAGCCCTGCCCTGGGCAGACCGAGATCCCAGGGCGCTTGGTACAAAAGTCACTTGAACATGGCCTGCCTGCTCCCACCGGGCACATGCTGCTTCTGCCTGACCTTGGCCGTGGGCCAGCATGGCCCCACTGCCCCCTGCTGACCTCAGCACGGGCCCTCTCCCAGCCCTCCACAGAAGAGTCTGTCTTCAGTCCTCTAGTTTTTATTTGGTCCCCCTGGAGTCCCCACCCTGGGACTGAGGAAGGAGTGACTCCAGGGGATACAGGGACAGATAGAGGCAGCGTGGGAGATGGGGCCAAGGCTGCCACCAGCTCCCAAGCAAGGAGGTGTGTGAAGGACAGTCCAGCAGAGCCAGCCAGGCAGCGGGGCACCAGGGGAAATGGAGCAGGCCTCTGCAGTGGCTCCCTGTGCTCAGAGCCCCTGCTCCAGGCCCAGCCAGCCTCGTTTGCAGCCCTGCCTCCTAGGGCTAGAGTGTAACCAGGCAGGGAGGGGGCTGTCCTTCCCGAGAGCCCTGGCTGGGAGGGTGGCCTGGACTGTGGGCTCGGGGAGACAGCCGGCAGGTGTCCCTGGTCCCTGGCAGGCTCCTCAGCTGGGGCTCAGTGCCGGGCTGCCCTCGGGACTGTCGCTCACCAGGCACTCGTTGGATTTGAAGCTCGCCAGGGACTTGCAGCTGGGGATGGAGGCCAGGGAGCCGCAAAGGCCCAGCATGGAGGGCGTGGGGTCCTTCCCTGGGGAGAAAGGGCGGGTGAGGCTGGGTGACTCGCCTGCTTGTGTGGGAGTGGGTTGGGGTGGCCAGTGAAGGGGCAACCCCCATGTCACCCCAGGAGACCTTGGTATCTTCTGGAACATTTGCCATTTTCAATTAAGCTTTGAGGAAGCCCGTGCCTGCCCCACGCACTGCGCTGGGGACACTTATCGTAGCCGTCAGTTACGTCTGTCTCCCCCGAGGGTCACCCTCTCTTTGTCCATTTATTAGACACACTGAGCATTTGCTCTTCCGAGCACTGGGGTACAGAGAACGGACAAGACACGGTCCCTGCCCTCACGGAGCTCACAGTCTGCTGGGGGAGACAGACACACAATCACAAACACAGTGTGATGGGCCGCATGCCCAAAACCTGCCTAGCTGCAGGGAAGGCCTAGGGCCGATCAGAGCAGCATGGCTGTTATAAAAAAAAAAAAAAAGGAAAGGGGGTCCAGGGACGGAGAACTAGGAGGGGGAACCATGGCGGAGCCAGGGTGAGGCCAACACAAAGTGCATGCGTTGAAGTCCTGGGCATTCGCTCGAAGGGAGCCACTAATTTGGCTCTGAGCTTCCTGGCAGCCAAAGAAAAGGGGGAAGCGTGGTCAGGTAAGTCGTTAATAGCAGGTTAGCTAGGCTGAGGCACTCCCGCGAGTCTGAGCTCTACCAGTGTCCTGACACCAGAACACGTTTGAGCCCTCACCATGTGCCCACACTGGCATTTCTTTTATCAACATCCCCGGTTTACAGATGAGAATGGGCTCGCCAGGTTTACAGATGAGAACGAACTGGCAGGCTCCCACCCAGTGGGGCACGGCCAAGATTCACGCTGGGTTCTGACGCCCCAAGCCAAGCTCACCATCGCAGCGCTAGGCTCTCGGGAAAGGCTGGCTCCAGGCCCCCCGGCCTTGCCTCAGCCCTTCCTGGAGGGGCGCGGGGCGGGGTGGGGGGCTCACCGATGGGGCCCCAGGGCTCCTCGCCCCGCTTGCCTTCTCCCAGGCGCTGGGAGTCCGAGCTCGGGCTGGCCTCCGCGGACAGCGGCTCGGCGCTCATGAAGCTGTGTCTGGGCAGACGGAGAGCAGTGTCGGGCGGGGCCTGCACCCCGCGCCCCTTCTCCCGGGGGACCCCACTCAAGCCAAGCCGAGGCTGGCGGGGGCTTACCTCCGGTAGAGCTTGGCGTTGCCGGGCCCCTCGGCCCCGTTGAGCGTCCCCAGCGAAGGCCACTGGTTGACCAGGGGCGTGGTGAGCTCCTTGGAGCCCTGGGCCAGGGGGGCGTGGTCACCGGGGATCAGACCTGTCCTGGGAGGGGGAGGCGGAGTCAGGCTGGCTGGGGGGGAGGCGGCGGCGGG